AGTTGCCAAATACTTTTCTTATTATTTATTTATTTATTTATTTTAGAGAGAGGGCAGGGAAGAGTTAGTGTTTTGTTTTTAAATAATTTGTTGTTGTTGTTGATGATCCCCAGAGAGAGAAAGACAGGGAATACAGAAAGAGAGAAACTTTGATGAATGAAAAACATCCTCAATTGTCTGCCTCCTACATGCTCCCCACTGGAGATCAGGACCACAACAGGTCTGTGTCCTGACCAGGAATTGAACCAGTGACCTCTTGGTTCCTGGTTTGAAGCTCAATCACTGAGCCACACCAGCCAGACTCTCTCTCCCTCTTTCTAAGTCCTTTCCCTGAAGGTTAGAATCAAGTTCCTTTGTGGAAAAGCAAAGATATTAAGCCCCCATAGCTTAAGTGCAAAAAAATCACCAACACAAGGAACTCTGTCAAGATTATAAAGATTCGTGCCAGATTACCTACGTGTCATATAAAAACCATTTCACAGTAACTGTCACTGCATTTGAAAGTTGTTTGTAAAAAGCAGTAGCTTCTCTTTGCTGTGAGCAGTACGACTGGAGATCTGATGGGTGACACCCTACAGATTTTATATGACTAGTGGTGCAATTTTAACAGAGTGGATTTAAGTTTTATAAATGAACACATGTAAACTTTTATGCTTTGACAGTGTCCCTTTTATTTAAAATGCCATATTTCCAAGAAGCAATTTTATTTCTTTTCAATGTCTGTATTTTAACCAATCTATAATTGTATGTGCTTTTTATACTTAGCATCATTCATCATTCCTTTCAATTCTTTAAATATCAAGAATTAGTAACAAGCCAAGCAAACAATTAGTAAGGTTCCACAATTAAAAATCATTTCTAAATAAACAACTAGGTAGTAATATCATGCCAACTATTCCACAGCTGTCAATATAAATTAATTTTAAGACATTTAATTACAATGCCTTTCTGTGGATCATACCCACAGTCCCCCACAAAGGAAATAGTCAGTTGAGAATATAGATCTAGATTTAGGGAGAAAGAAAGTGAAATGTTTTGGTCTCACTCCAGGGTGAGAGACTATATCTTCCTAAAATTTATAAATCAGAAATTGTAATTAATTGAGGTTCTTCTATACTGGGGGCGCTACAGACTTCATCTTGGCCAATATAAGAAAGCAGTAGTCCCCTCGCCCAGTATCACTTGCTAATGCATGCAACTACTTGGGAGATACAGTGCAGTGCATTTTTCTCAGAGGTGAGAACATTAAAGCAAAAAATTTTTATTTCTTGATTAATATTAAAAATAAAAAGAGAGGTGAAGGTAGAAAAACACACACAAAACACTAGATTTTTACCCAAGGCATAGACAAAACATTCTAACTGTTTTGGGGACCAGTTCAAATTATGATCTGGTAATGGACCAAGAAATATATACAAGTCTTGCCCCTGTGACTACCACAGCCTCGCAGCCCACAGTTCCTTTCAAGGTGCACAAATTCATGCACTGAGCCCCTAGTACTTATATAAAAATAGACTCTATTTCATGTCTTTCATACTAAAATTTACATATGTTAACATATAAACTATATAGTAAATGGTGAATCCTGTAGTCTAAAACCAAAGCAATAAAGGTTAAAAAGGAAAGCTTGCCAAGTCTCACTTAAGAAGTATCTTATTCTCAACATTCTTTTTCTGTACAGAATTTGCTACCCCACCTAGTCCCTCTCAGTTAAAGAAAACCTAACGTCTTGAAAAAATTATTAAAGTCCAAAATAAATAGGAACATAATAAATAATACAGTTAACAAGAGATGAGAGCAAAACAACCATTTGTAAGTCATGCAAATTAGGATTTAATGGCTGGATAATCTCTAATGGAGACACAAGAAAAGCTGCTGTGGGTTTGTGACAATGTAGCTATGGCACCAGTCTTAGAATAAACACCCATGGTAGAGCACCCCTACTCCCGCTTGCCTTTCAGGCATGTCGGTTGAGGCTCATCAGAATTAGCAGCATATGCAATCCCCACTTCCTGCCACACAGGAGTCTCACCTGTGGCATTCCAGGTACAGCTACCATTAAATCCTTTATGGGAAGATGAGTACAATATAGTCCTTTCCAATGTTATTTGCAAAAAAGTAGCTTTTGTGCCTGTCACCATGACGAACCTCTCTTTATAAAGGTGTTCTTTTAATCCCCCTAATTTATTTCTCTCATTTTATCTCCTAAATATGCTCCTTTTCTTGGTATTTTCTCAAATAGCTTAGTAAGATATCCAAGATATAGTGAAAACAGCAGTACAGTTTGGAGGAAGAAAAATGCTTATAAAATGAGGGAAATGAATCATAACTCAGAACAGATATTTTATCCACTATTTACATTTATTTTATAGACTATTTTTTAAAATAACATCATTTTAATATAAATTTATTCCTCATTTTAAGCCTGAAATACTGTTTTGTACATGCACATCAAATAAATACAACAGGTGAGGCAATATATTAGAATCAGCTTTCCTTCAGCAGAGACAATGACCACTATTCTTACACATAAACTTTCCAATACTGGATATGAGAAATCTGCAGTATCACAAGAAATCACTTATTCTATCTTATTGCTACTAAATGACCAAACATAGGTTCTAAAAATAGAATTAGATTCAATTATGCAAAGGTTATAAAATGACTTCTAAGTTTTTTTAATTTAATGTTACACTAAACAGACAGCAAAAGGTTTTAATATCTCAGTAACAATTCCTCAGTTGAAAACATCAAGTTATCAGACTCAATTCATTGAAGAATTTTTAACTTACCGTTTGAGGATGTATAGTATTCTGCTTAGAACCTGCTAAAATTAAAAAATAATAAAATGAATTTAATAAATGAAAGAAATTAAGCCTATACAGTGTTAAATTTTAAAATAAAGTATTCAGAGGTGGTTTCCAAAATGGTGGTGGTGTAAGTGGAAGCTACACTGACACTCTCCAAGGACCAAACTGGAATTTCAACTAAAGTACAGAAAAAACATCTTGAATAATCAACTGAAGTCTAGCTGGAGAGAACACTGATAACCAAGAATGGAAAGTGGAGACCACATAGAGACTGGTAGGAAGTGCAGATGTGTGAAAGGGTGGGCTGGGCTCCCAACAGCTGAAGTTCTGGAGGTGTATCTCAGATGTGGGGGGTTCCCATTGAGTACCCTGGGGTCTAAACCCCAAGCTGGGATCCCCAGCCCAGAGCACCAGAACTGAGAAAAGTGCCCACATAACATCTGGCTGTGAGAAGCAACAAGGTTTCTGTCTGCCAGTGAGAGATGGCTGGAAATGCAGGAACCCCCTTGAAGGGCTAATGCACAAATTTTCATGTGCAGCCACTCACCTTGGGATCTGGCAGAGGGAGGGCAGAATGGACTAGAGCTGTATGAAGAGAATTCAGGATTGTGGGTTCTGGGGTTAGAGTTTGAAAGACAGCAAACACAGTTTCCTGTGATGAGTCATTCCCTCACACTCCAGTGAGCATCTTTCTGGAGCAGACCTTTACCATCCAGGGGAGCAATTGACTTGTTGGAAAACCTCTCATCCCATTTTGTGGTCAATAGCCTGAGGCAAATCAAGACTGATTATCAATCACACTACAGGCAGAGGCAGAATCAAGAATGAGATGGCACTAATAAATAATACAGTGGAAGGAACACACTGCAGATTAGGGAAAGCTGAGGATCAGATCAGTGAATTAGAAGACAAGATGGGAAAAAAATCACTCAATCAGAGAACCAAAAAGAAAAAAAAGACAATTAAAGAACAGGACAGCTTAACAATATTCACATCAGAGGAGTACCAGAAAGTGAAGAAAGTGAGCAAAAGCTAGAGAATGTGTTTAAAGCAATAATGACAGAAAATTACCCAAATCTGGTAAAGAAAAAAGTCACAAAAGTTCAAGAAGCACAGATCATATTAAGCAAAAAAAAACCAAAAAAAACAACCCAAACAGGCCCATGCCCAGACACATCATAATTAAATGGTCAAAAATTAAAGACAAAGAGACAAACTAAAAGGCAGCAAGAGAAAAGCAATTTGTTACCTACAAAGGAGCTCCCATTAGGCTGTCAGTTGATTTTTCATCAGAAACTCTATAGGACAAAAGTGAATGCCATCAAGTATCTAAGGTCATGAAAAGCAAGGATTTGAAATAAAGATTAATATATCCAGCAAGACTATGATTAAAAATAGATGGTGAAATAAAGGGCTTTTCCAACAAAAAAAGGTGAAAGGAGTTTATCACCACAAAACCAGCACTGAAAGAAATGATAAAGGGAATGCTCTAATGAGAAGAAATAGAAAGAAAGACACATAGACATAAGGAATTACAATGGCAATAGATAGGTACCTATCAATAATAACCTTAAATAAAAATGAATCAAATGCTCCAATCAAAAGATATAGGGTAGCTGAATGGATACAAAAACATGATCCAATTATATGCTGTCTACAAGAGACCCACATCAGAACAAAAGACTCACACAGGATGAGAGTGCAGGCATGGAAAAAAATTTTTCATGCAAATAGAAATGAGAAAAAGCTGGGATAGTAAGACTCATGTCTGACAAAATAGACATCAAAATGAAGGCCATCAAAAGACACAGTAAAGGTTGCTACCTAATGCTAAAGGGATAGATCCAGTAAGAGGCTATAACCCTGGTAAACATATATCCACCCAATATAGGAGAACCTAAAAATATAAAAACAAACTTCTGGAGTACTTTAAGGAAGAGATTGACAGTAATAAAAGCAGAGTAGGGGACTTTAACACCCAGATAACTTGACTAAATAGATCTTTCAGACAAAAAAATTAACACAAGAACAGTGACTCTAAATGATACACTGATCACATGGATTTAATTGACATTTATAAAATATTTCTCCCAAGTGGCAGAATATACATTCTTCTTAAGTGCTCAGGGTTCATTCTCAAAGTTATACCATATATTAAGATACAAAACAAGTCTCTACAAGTTTAAGAAGATTTAAAACATATCAAGCATCTTCTCTGATCACAATGGAATGAAATTAAAAGTCAATTACAGTAAAAACATTTAAAAACATTATAACACATGGAGGCTAAATGGAATGTTATTAAAAATCTAGAGGCTCCATGCACAAAATTCATGCAAGAGTAGGCCTTTGAGGCCATGGCTGCCTTGGCCATCATGATTCCAACTGCCTTGCGGCCCCGCCCCCCACCCACTGGTTGTTCCAGAAGGTCGTTCCACTGTCCAGTCTAATTAGCATATCAGCTCTTTATTACATAGGATGAATGGGTTACCAATGAGATCAAGAAAGAAATAAAAAAAATTTCTAAGAACAAATGAAAATGAACTCACAACAACCCCAAATCTCTGGGACACAGCAAAACTAGTACTGAGAGGAAAGTTAATAGCACTACAGGCCTACCTCAAAAAAAAACAAGAAATTTTAATAAGTTATCTAACATTACAACTTAAAGAATTAGAGAACACCAGAAAAACCCAGAATAAGTAAATGGAAAGAAATAATAAAGATTAGAACAGAAATAAATGACATAGAGGCTAAAAAAAACAATTCAAATGATCAGTGAAACCAAGAGCTGGTTCCTTAAAAAAATACACAAGATTGATGATCCATTAACCAGACTTATTAAAAAACAAAAAGAGTGGACCCAAATAAATAAAATCAGAAACAAAAGCACAGGAAGGAACAACTGACACCACAGAAATAAAAAGGATTGTAATAAAATACTCTTAACTATATGTCAACAAGTTGTACAATGTGGATGAAATGGACAAAACCCTAGAAAAAGAAATTTTCCAAAACTGAATCAGGAAGAATCAGAAAACCTGAATAGGCCAATACTAACTGAGAAAATAGAAGCAGTAATAAAAAAACTTCCAACAAACAAAAGTCCTGGTCTGGATGGCTTTACAGTGTAGTTTTACCAAACATTCAAAGAACTTACACCTACCCTCCTCAAAATATCCCAAAAAATCCAGGAGGAAGGAACACTTACAACTTTTTTTTTATGAAGCTAGCATTACCCTAATTCCAAAACCAAATAAAGACAGTACAAAGAAAGAGAATTACAGGCCAATCTCCCTGATGAACATAGATGCTAAAATCCTCAACAAAATATTAGCAAATGGGATCCAGCAATATAGTTAAAAAATCATACACCATGACCAAGTGAGATTTATTCTGGAGATGCAAGGCTGGCATAATATTCACAAACCACTAATGTGATACATTACATTCAGACAAAAATCACATGACCATATGAAAATATGTAGAAAAAGCATTAGACAAAATCAAACACCCATTTTTTAATATATATTTTTAATTTATTTCAAAGCGGGAGAGGAAGCGTGAAACCTAGGCATGTGCAATGACTGGGAATTGAAACATGACCTCCTAGTTCATAGTTTGACACTCAAACACCAAACCATGCCTGGTGGGCGTAACACCCATTTTTTATAAAAACTTTCAGCAAAGTCGGAATAGAGGGATCTCCAGGACCCCTCAGGGGATGTTGGAGAGCTGGTTTTGGCCCGATCCCGAAGGCCAGGCCTAGGGACCACACAGGTGCATGAATTCGTGCACCTGGCCTCTATTTGTTTAATAAGCATTAATTAAAGGGAGACAAAGTATACATAACAGAATTGAACTACATGATCAGTCAGCAAAAGCTAAAGTTCAAAAATAAAGATAAAATTTCTTTGAATGTACTGTGCAAGTCATATGGAAAATTATTTGATTATTTGAATTTATTCAATTCAAAAAGTATTAGAATTGAACAATTCAAGGCTTGTATGAATTTTTAGAAACACAAAGTTTGCCTAAAGCAATGCAGAAAAACTGATGTTTTATTTCATTAATTTGTAACTTGGATTATTTTGATAAATGTTTAAGAGCTTGCTTTACTTCATAAATTTAAAAAAGGTTGTTTAAGGGAGACTAATAAAAATCTGATTGTAGGGAACATCTTTAGGCACTCACTATTCAAAGCACCTATATCTATATATCTATTAAAAATAACTTATGCAGTCTGGCTGCTGTGGCTCAATGGTTGAGCTTCAACCTATGAACCAGAGGTCACAGTTTGATTCCTGGTCAGGGCACATGCCCAGGTTGCAGGCTCAACCCTCAGTGGGGGGCATCCCGGAGGAAGCCTAACAGTGATTCTCATTCATCATTGATATCTCTATCTCTCTGTCTCCCTTCCTCTCTGACATACAAAAGCCTGTCAACTGATACTTGGCAAATTAAGTACAAAGTTTAGAAACAAGTTGACTCCACACTTAGTAATAATTGATTTTAAAAATAACAAAAGCCTAAATTTTAAAACAATGTTTTTATTATAGTATAATGATTTTAAGAAAAAATATTTCAAAGTCAATTATTAGAGGACACTGCTCTTAATTAGCAAAAATGACAGATTTTGAACTTCAATTCTTGTCCATTTCTGGGCATCAAGGCCTATAACCAGTCCAGTCTGCAAGAAGAGCAAGTGAGAAGTAGGTCTCTGTGAACGAGCTCTATCACACCAACAATGGCCAATTAAAAACCCTTTTCTGTTTATTAAAATCAATCCTCAACCAGTTCTTCTTTTCCATAGCATTAAAAGGTTTATGCATTCGAAAACATACAGCCATTTTCTTTTAAACTAGTCTATAATTTAAACTTTTCAATAGCTCATGATTTCTACCTTTTTCATTAGTTACCAATACATTTCCTTGATCCTAAGCTATAAGAACCAACCAAAAGCCTTTCCAAATTATAATATACAAGAGGCCTGGTACACAAAATTCGTGTGTGTGGGGAGGGCAGTCCCTTAGCCCAGCCTGAACCCTCTCATAATCTGAGACCCCTCAAGGGATGTCTGACTGTCCGTTTAGGCCTGATCCTACAGAGATCCTTGTGGGATTGGGCCTAAACCAGCAGTCGAACATCCCTCTCACAATCTGGGACCACTGGTTTCTAACCGCTTACCTGCCTGTTTGCCCCTAACCCTTCTGACTGCCTGTCTGATCATGCCTAACCACTCACCTGCCTGCCTGATCACCCCTAACCAATCTACCTGTCTGATTGCCCCTAACACCTCTGCCTGCCTGCCTGATTGCCCCTAACTGCTCACCTGCCAGTTTGCTTACCCTTAACCCCTCTGCCTGCCTGCCTGATCACCCATAACCACTTGCCTGCCTGCCAGATTGCTCCTAACCATTCTTCTTGCCTGCCTGATCACCTGCAACTGTTCACCTGCTTGTCTGATCGCCCCTAACTGCTCACCTGCCTGTCTGATTGCCCCAACCACTCGCCTGCCTGCCTAACTGCCCCTAACCATTATGCCTGCCTGATTGCCCCTGACTGCTCAGCTGCCTGCCTAATCACCCCTAACCCCTCTGTTTGCCTGCCTGATCACCCCTAACCACCTCTGCCTCGCCCCTATCACCGCAGCTTCGTCCCAAAGGACATCCCAATGATGTCCGGAAAGTCGTTGGCTGTCTGGTCTAATTAGCATATTACCCTTTTATTATTATAGACTTGGAATTCTTGGCATAGACTAACAAAAACAAAGCTGACTTACCAACAAATATCATATAAACTAATCCAAGTAATGCCCCTAAGGTTGTAATACCCAAGCCTGAAATCAGAAGAGAACCATGCACTGGGATGCACTCTGCAAAAACAAATAAAATTTTATCTTAGAAATTCACATGAAATAACTGAACTTCTTAAAAGAATCAATAACAGAAATAACATTAAGTTTTAGGAAGAGTAATTATTTTTCTCATTTTCAAGAAACAAAAATTACTTCCCGGCCTTTGTAGCTCAGTAGTTGAGCATCAACTTATGAACCAAGAATTCATAGTTCAATTCCTGATCAGGGCAAAGCCTGGTTTGTAGGCTTGATCCCTAGTTGGGGGCATGCAAGAGGCAGCCAATCAGTGATTGTTCCTCATCATTTTTTTTATCTTTCTCCCCGTCTACCTTTCTCTCTGGAATCAATAAAAATATATTTTTTTAAAAAGAAACAAAAATTACCTACATTTGTATACCCATTATTAACTCAGTGCAATGATTCCAAATTCCTTTCCCTGTACGGAAAGAAGAGCCGTTGCTTGCATGGCATGTACCTTATCAAGTCTAGACTAAAGGGAAATAGTCTGTGAAGCCTAAACCTCCACCCAAATGGTTCTTTTAAAAGCTCATCCACGAATACAGGTGTGGCAGTTTGGCCACTAAACAATCAGCCAATGTGGAAAGCACTGACCTCAGTAGGGGAAAAATGAGTGAAAAAATGAAAAGCTCACAACACTAAATGCTGGCATGAATGTAGAGCAACAGAAATGTTCATTCATTGCTGGTGGGAATGCAAAATGGTGCAGCCACTTTGGAAGACAGTTTGGTAATTTGTTACAAAATTGATATATTCTTAACATACAATCTAGCAATTGCACTCCTTAGTGTTTTCCCAAATGAAGTTGAAAAAGTATGTCCATACAAAACGTGCACTTCTATATTGTGTGTCTAGATCTGCAATTTGATAACAAATCAATACCTTCCCCTGTGCAGAAAGCAACCAAAATATCCTTCAATAGGTGAATGGATAAACAAACTATTGTCCATTCACACAACTGAATATTATTCAGTGCTAAAAAGTAAATAAGTTATCAAGCCACCCAAAGACATGGAGGAACCTTAAATGCACACTACTAAGGGAAAGTAGCCAATTTGAAAAAGCTAGATACTGTATGATTTCAAGTATAAGACACTTTGGAAAATGCAAAACTATTGAGGCAGTGAAATGATCGGGTGGTTGCCAGTGTTTCAGAATAGGGAGGATGAATAGACAGAGCACAGAGGGTTTTGGGGGCAGGTAAACTTTTCTATATGATATTCTATGACTATGGTCCATGTCATTATACATTTATCAAAATCATAGACCATACAACACCAAGACTGAACCCTTATATAAACGATGGACTTTGGGTGATAATGTTGGGCCAATGTTGGTTCAACAGACTGTAACAAATGTACTACTTGGTGGGAGATGTTGATAGAGGAGGAGGCTGTGAGTAGATGGGGTAGAGGGGGATTCTGTATTTTCCACTCCATTTTGCTGTGAACCTAAAATGCTCTAACAAATAAAGACTATGTATTTAAAACAGAGTAAGAAAGACAAAAGGAAAGAGAAAAAGCTCTAAGAGAAATTACTGGTAGGAAGACTAATTGGGTCTAGAATAGATTGTGACCCTCACCTGAGACACAGAAGCTTAGTCCGACCACAGAGATCAAAAGGCCCAGCACCTGAACGATCAATAAGATGACGCTGATGGGGAGCTTCCTTTTAGCTGGAGCTTCAGGGGGAAAAAAAGCATGTTGCACATGTTTAAGAAGCAATCACTTCCACTTGTATTTCATACAGTCAAGGTCAGTATCCTAGGACCGAAGACTGACTCGGTCAGGTGGTGGCTGCTTTCCCAGTGACCTAAGCCATCTCTCTCCACTCCAGGAGTCAGCTCCACATTCACACCCTCAGCAGCCTTTCATTTCTGCAGGGAGCTGAGCTGCATTGGCAGTTTTTACCCCAAATCTTAGAACAATGCTGCTTTTACCACACGTGGGTATTTCACAATAGGAGTGGCTATTAGCAGGGCCTCATCACATGCACACAAAATCACTCTGATGGAGAACCACTGTGCAAGCATAACCCCTAATTGTGATTTTAGAACAAATTAATACCACCTTAATATATAACAACCCAGAGATAGGCTCTCATACCAAGAGTTAAATGTGCAAATGGAAAAAATAGATTCTTTAATAATAAAAATATTTAGTGATTTAACCCAAAAATAGAGTGAAAAATGTTACCAATTATAGGTTGGATAATCATAACGTATAACTTGTAAAACTCAGTGTTAATATTTGCAATAACTCTTTATGATTTACAACCCTATTTTGTATAACTAGTTTTTTAAAGAGAGTTTTCACAACAGAATATAATGAGAATGTTTAATATCTACTCCTAATTTCAAAAACTGAAATAAGAATATGAAGATCATCGTTAAGAAATTAAATAGTATAATTTAAAAAAATCCATTGGCTGGCATTAAATATATCTCTGAAAGTCACTTTTTATAAAATAACTATGTTAAAACCTAATATAACATTAAAATTAATCCATATGGGTGGAAATTTTCACTAAGAATAGCTAGGGAGACAAATCAACTTTTATTGTATTATAAAAAAATGCAAGAATTATTTTAATAAAAAATGATGCTTTTTAAATGAAAAAGGACACAATCATGCTGAAACAACAAATACTTACCTATCAAAAACATAGAGATCTGAAGTAATATTAGTATTACTGTAGAAGCTACAATTAAACCAAGTCCACTGGCCCTCTTTGTTGAATATTCACCTGTTGATAAATAAAATTAACGTTTAAAATATTTTCCTACATACTTTCTACTCTGGGGGAAATTAAAGTACTTAATTTATTAAATGTATTCATCTCAATACTACTCTTATAAACTGCAAATGTTTAAAAATAAATGCTTCCCCTAAAACCTCACACAAAATAAGTGACAATTTTTTTTTATTTAAGACCAAACTGAAGACATCTAAATGTCAACATCTAAGTCTCAACAAGTCAAAACCTTCAATCGGCTTTTTCTCCTTCTTAACTACCTTGGAGTCTCTTAGCAATTTCTTCATGTACTATATTCAATCTGTCCCAAAGTCAAAATAGCTATTCTTTGTAGCTGTCTTCTTAATTCATCTCTTTCCTCACCACACCCTAACTAACTTCAGCTGCAAAGAGAACTGCCAAATTTCTGTTCCTAAACATTATACCCATATTGTATTTTGTTAATAAAAGGTAGGCTTTCTACATCTACACTTCGAGTCCCAGCCTATCCCTGCTGTTCTTTCCATGTGCTGCATACCCTTATTCCCAAATCCCATTCCCATCCCCCAAAGGCAAATGCAGTTTCAGATTGATTTGTTTCCCATGTTCATTCCCACTTCCATGTCTTGCCTGATGAAGTTTGCCTTTGGAATGGTTAAATGGTGGCTCCAAACATAAGCCTACCTCCTAATTCCCGGAAGCTGTGAACGTTAATTTATAGAGCCAAAGCGGACCATTACATTATATGAATTAGTTTAGGTTCTTGAAAGAAGGAACTTATCCTAGATTAATGAGGTGGGGCCTAAATTCAATGATAAGTGTCTTTGGAAGAGAGATGCACAGGAGTTTTAAGAGTGGAATTGGAGTTATGCTGCCACAAGCCAAGGAGTTGCAGGTTGCCAGCAAACACCAGAAAATGGAAGAAGCAAGGAATGGATTCTCCCCTAGAGTTCCACCCCGCCACAATGTTCTCAACGTTATCAACCATGACTTCCCTCATAGTAACTGCAAATCTTACCTGGGATGAAGAAAACGGCTCCAACAATGACTAATATACTGAGAACTAGTCCAGCCACAGATAAAATGATGATTTTCTCCTTTGTAATATTGGAATTATATTTAAGTGCTTAAAAGAAAAAACACACACAAAGAATTCCATGAACTCAATCTCAAGAATTAAAGCCATTTCTGTAACTTAAAAAGTAAAGAGACAAACTGATAACTTCCTATAATTGAATAACCTTTGAGGAATAACTCAGTTGTATAATGTGCAGCCACCTCAAATCTTTTTCATAAGTCCATCAATGACTAAATAGTGTCACAGCCGTATAAATATGGATGCTGAATTTACGGATGATGCTTTTATTATCTTACAATTTAAAGATGAAGTCATATACACCATGCTTTCTCAATTGGGCCATTACTAACATTAGGGCCAGATAAATCTTTATGGTGGAAGGGGGCTGCTCTGCACATTTAGAAGGTTTAGTAGCATCCCTGCCTCCCTCCAAACTGCATGCCAGTAACAGCCCCAGTTGTATCAATTGTGAAATGTCCCCTGAGGAGTAAAACTGCCTCAGCCTTACAACTGATATAGATAATGCTGATGGGAAATAACTGGCTAATTGGTAATACTGAGAAAAAGAGAACTTTGTCCCACCTTACATAAAATGATAAACATCTGGAAATCTAGATATTTTATTTTGAAAAACTAGAATAAAATTGGACTAATCACACCCTCTTGATATCTTGAAGGAAGAGAATGCTTAAATTGTTAATATATTATATATTAGTTGAACAATTAGGCCTGGTGCATGAATTCATGCACAGGTGGGGTCCCTCGGCCTGCGTGGTGAGCAGGGCCAGATGTGGCTGGAGGCCAGGGGGAGCGACCATGGGATGTTGGCCAGCCAGCCCTATTAGGGCTGATCTGGCTGGCCGGCCAGCGGGACAGACTGCGGGAGATTGGCCAGCCTTGAGAGGTTGCCTGTGGGAGTACACCAGGGGCAGCGCCTGCAATTGAGCATCTGCTCCCTGGTCATCAATGCGTATCATCTGGAATGGTCAATTGGTCTTTCAGTCCTTTGGTCACATAGGCTTTTATATATATAGACTAGAGGCTCGAGCACAAAATTTGTGCAGGGAGGGGTTCCCCCTCAGCCCAGCCTGCACCCTCTCCAATCCAGGACCCCTCGGGGAATGTCCAACAGTCGGTTTAGACCCGATCCCCAGGCTGTCGGACATCTCTGTCACAATCCAGGACTGCTGGCTCCTAACTGTTCACCTGCCTGCCTGCCTGATCGCCCTAACTGGCCCCCCTGCCATCCTGATCACCCCTGACCATCTCTGCCTGCCAACCTGATCACCTCTAACTGGCCCCCCTGCTGGCCTGGTTGCCCCCAACTTCCCCTCCCCACCGGCCTGATTGCCCCTAACTGCCACCGCCAGCAGCATGGTCCCTGACAACCCCTGCCAACCTGGTCTCCCCCAATAGCCCCCCTCTGACAGCCTGGTCACCCCCTAACTGCTCCCTCTGCCAGCCTGCTTGCCCAAAACTGCCCCTGCTGCCGGCCTGGTTGCCCCTCACTGCCCCCCTGATGGCCTGGTTGCCCCTCACTGTCCCCCCTGCTGGCCTCGTTGCCCCATGCAGCCTGCTATTTAGTCATTTGGTCACCCCTCACTGCCCCCCTACCAGCCAGGTAGCCCCATACAGCCTGCTGTTCAGTCATTTGGTCATCCCTCACTAACACCCCCACTGGCCTGTTCACCCCACGCAGCTTGCTGCTCAGTCATTTGGTTGTCCAACACTAACCCCCATGCCAGCCTTGTCGCCCCACTCAGCCTGTTTGGTCGTCTGTTAGGTTGTTTCAGATGTGACAGCCCCTGGCTCTTTATCCTATATAATAAAAGGCTAATATGCAAATTGACCAAACTGCAGAATGACCAGTCGCTATGACATGCACTGACCACCAGGGGGCAGACGCTCAAAGCAGGAGTTGCCCCCTGGTGGTCAGTGTGCTCACATAGGGGGAGTGCTGCTCAGCCAGAAGCTGGGCTCACAGCTGGCAAGTGCAGCAGTGGTGGTGGGAGCCTCTTC